AAGAGAGACTGGGCCGGAGGAAGCCCTTGTAACAGCTTCGGTGCGAGGCAGCCCGTCCACGTATGGCTTTCACAGGCGTGATCTGTGAGGCAGCGCTCTCGAGGGTGCCTCGCAACCTAGCAGACGACGGGTCCGTGGCTGTGAGTTTGTGGCGAATGTCTGTAATCGGTGGCCGAACCCAGAGGCCTTGATTGGTGCAATGCCCGCGGAGCTTGCCGGCCATCGCTCGGTTGGCTGGGTTAGGGGGTGCGGATCCTGTCTCTCCCTCCCTTGATGTGGAGATTTGTGTAGCTTGATTCTGTGGCGGGAGCGCAAGTGGTCATGTAGACCATGCTTGCGTCGACAGTTGTAAGCTATGATATCCTTGTCTGTCATGGCTGGCTCACGTTGTGTTGGAGGTCACGTTGTCTTTGCTGCCGGATCGTGGTCTTGCGCTTTTCGAGCGTCGGTCAGTCCAGGAAGGCGGCAGCCCTCTCCCTGGTTGCATTTTGTTCGATTCTGTGGCGTGTTTCAGCCGTTGGTTTGCTCGGAAGTGGTATTTCGACGCTGCGTGGGGCCCGCCGGGGAGCGGGTTGGCTCTAAGGTCGTGGGTGAAGCTCGCGATCAGTGGTGGCGGTCACTCGTCCCGTAAGAGTGGCTAACGCCGGGCGAACTTTCATATATCCCGGGCGAACTTCCTTATATCCCTGGCGAACTTCCGTGTGTCCCGGGTGGACATCCGTGTGTCCCGGGTGGACATCCGAGTGTCCCGGGTGGACCTCCGTGTGTCCCGGGTGGACCTCCGTGTGTCCCTGGGAACTTCCGTGTGTCCGGGTGGACATCCGTGTGTCCCGGGTGGACATCCGTGTGTCCCGGGTGGACGTCCGATTGTCCCGAGTGGATATCTGTGCGTCCGGATTGACATCCGTGTGCTCCAGGCGGATATCCGCGTGCTCCGTGCGGACATCCGTGTGTCCCGGGTGGACCTCCGTGTGTCCCGGGCGGACATCCGTGTGTCCCGGGCGGACATCCGGGTGTCTGGTTCCAGCCCAATAACAGAACAGTCGATGTGATGGTTGCTGAAACGGTCGTACATGCCCAGCGCGTGGTGAAGCTCCAGGGGAGTCCTTTACCGGGTCTGCATGATCGAGTGTGCCAGTCCGGAATCCGACGTGGATAACTGTAAACTTACTTTGGAACTGTTGGACAATAAGGTGGATACTTAGTATACGTCAGCAAAAGACCGCAAAGATTGTTAAGCAAAGATCGTGAGCAAAAATTATTATACTGTTGCGTCTCATATGACATCATTTCATAGAAATCCTATGCCGGATTGGTTTACTGCCTCGAAATCCCCCATTTTTTATTTTCAAACCTGTTAAAAGCATACATTCTCCCCAAGATACCCGCTACAAATCACAGATGGTGACACCCTTGAAGCACTCGCCCCATTCCAGGAACTCATGAGTAAGTGACACCCTCATGAGGTGACAGCAGCTCCTACGATGTGAAGCGAGCTGAAGCAGGCATCGCGCAATCGAGCCAGGGGATTTGACAATGCGGCGTAAACTGCAGAACTTTTATCCCCTGGACTGGACTACAAAACCCTTCGAGCCTTCAGTCCACGATCCTCGGAACCGCCGTTTTTTTGCGGTTGATGGTGGAGGTCGGGTGGACAGAGAGCGCCGGAGATTTACTGTTTTCGTCCTACCAGTGATCATCAGCTCCCGTGCTGGTGATTCACGTGCTGCCATGGCGAAACCAAACATGGCAGTGACTAGCGGGATTTCCAGAGCCATTCTGTTGTCAGACGCTGGCCAAAGGGACGTGGCCATGGGTGGTCAACGCCTCACCATGCATTTCTGTAGATCATAGGTGAGACCGAATGGTTATTGTACGCTGGTTTTGACTGGGTTAGTCAAAATATTACCTGGCGTGTGAGCACTACTACAGGAATGGTCAACGTAGGAGTAAGGATCGGAATATGCCTCATATTTGTTTAGGTCAGAATCATTTTTCGAAACGAAAGGAGGCATACAGTTAGGTACTTAATCTATTAATTGTCCAAAAAACCCTGCTAGCATAGTTCACTTTCTGA